GTATCATTCTGCTACACAGTCATGGCTACTCGGAGGCTATGGGACAGATGTGAATTTCAAGGCTAGCCAGGCGTCGCACAAAGTGTCATTATAGTGAAAAAATCGACTAGGTAAAAATTCACTTTTCTTTGCCAGTAAAGGAAGGATTATGCTTCAAATCCATCAGTAATTGTTTAAGTAGAAATTAGTCACTCGAATAAATCCTTCCTTTGGTCGGCCTAACCAAAAAAATTATTGATAATTTTGAAGCCTACTTGCATAGACTATAAGTAGTCTCCTCAATTATAAAGACAATGGCTTGCTTGAAGCATAGCCAAAAATTCAGTGTATTTTAATCACATTAAGCGACCTAGAATGTCCATGTTCATAGTGAAGAGTGGACAGACGAGCTGATGAGATGCTAATCCTGGCAATGGCGCTACGATCGGCGGGGAACATCTGTGAACCCGGTACCGATAGGGCCAGCAAACCACGGAACAAAGCGACACAAAGAGGGTCACCGACGGCTGAATGAGGAAGTGAGGAGCTCGAAGAGTCTTCTTGCTCTTCTCGTGAAATTGCCTTCGAGCCGAGAAGGACGATTTCTGGTTGGAGTTTCGAGGAGTGTCGGACCATCACGGTCTGAGTAAGTCACCGAATGAGGTTGCCAAGCCTAACTTTATGCTACTTAAGTTTGGGGAAATGCATCAAAAACGGAATAAGCAGTGCCGAATTGACTGCAAATGGGCAATTCATTCTTTGTGGCTTCGCGATTTCGGAACACATAGCAACTCACTAATTAGCCATTGCCAAGTGCTCCCACTCCATTTTCTGCCGAAAATGCAAAGAAATGAAGCAAATTTAACAGAGGAAGCTTTTTCCAAATAAGTAATTAACCGTAAATGGAAATAGGTTGAAGGTCTTGTTGTCAGGGCGACTTAGTAGAACGCACCTAGTCCGAAGTCGTCTGCCATAGTAGTTGTCATGAGTCCCAGCATCAGACAGTGGACTTGATACATTCTCAAACGTATCGCCGGCATCGTAGTCGGCATCATCAGTCAGTTTTGCTATTCTCCGCACCAAACTACGAACTCGTCAAAGAGACAAGTGAAGCCAATCCTTCGACAAACGTTCTGGTGAAAACGGTTACAATATCACTCCTTTTTCTGTCCTGGCCTATCTATCTACGCTTTACCCTCTTATCCCACTGCCGCCCTTCTCATTTGTTTACATTCCACTCTTTGTCGCAATTCTAGTGTGGCCCCATCATACTCGCTATTTGCCCCGACCTCTTTCTTTCGATGGGCTCATCCAAGTCTGGCCTCTAATCCGGATTCTTTAATTGTCTCGAAGATCCGTTCCTTCTCTTTTTGGTTGACCGATTTCACTCGGGTCCAGTCCCAGTGTGCATTTCACTCCTGGCGCTATTTCTCAAGGCCATAGAAGCACACACTTTGCCGCTTCACTGAGCAGAACGCCTAAGCTCTGATTGCCATGCTTGCAGATATCAGGCCTTCCCTTCACGGGTCCTCTTCTTGATCAAACCCATGTTATCTGAGCAAACTGTTGACGCCTATTTCTGGTCACATGCGGCATCTCAAGTGGATTTCTAGTACATTTGGGCCATAACGCCGAATTTCCCTGACGGTTTACTTATCCGTCTGCCCAGCTCCCTGACCGCCAAGCCCCCAAAGTTGTTCTGATTTATCACGAAATGGGCATCACGCACTGACAATGTCTTCGCTTTATTGCCGAAAACCCCTTACCCCACCCCCTTTCGTCGCCCTGACAACAAGATCAAGTTGCGATAACGAGATCAACCCATTTCTATAAATCGAAAGGAAACTACCAAAAGCCACAACATCTTGGTCTTCATATCTTCAATTGACCGTAAGCCTAGTTTTATGGTAATAAACATTGACAGCATTTTTCATATAGAGAAAAGATGCCAGTCTCAAGGTTCATACGATGTTCATGTACACTTAAAGATGGTCGCACTGGTCTTGTAAGTGTACATTTGAGAGATACATGGTTGCAGTAGTTAACTATCGAAATATGTTTCCGATTACAAGTAGCAAGAGCATTGATGAGCAGGCGGCGTGTATAATTCTAGTTTTTTTATAAGGATCCCGAGACCACTAGTAAATCTTGAATAAGAACTGTGTTAACCCTATTTTGTTGAAGATGATTATTGACTGGTAGTTAAATTTTCCCACAATCGTATGAATAGGCCTTACGTTTCCACTAGATTTCATATGTCCTTGCTTCCAAAAAGCGATTCTCATCCAGACTAGATTGGACTGCAGTTTCGATCTTTCCTGAACTGGTCTCATCCGCACCCCAAGTGAGATTCGAAGCCAGATAATGCAGCGTATGGTCCCGGCCCGTTAGCTACTACCAACACTTCCAAGAGTGCGCTTGGGTCACATAACAGAAATGAAGTTTTAGATAACGGACCAAGACTAACCAGAGCTACCCGGGTTCGAGTCCTGCTGAGGGTGCTAATGAGACCAGCTCAGGCAAGGTCGAAAGTGCAGTTCACTTCTGCCTGGATGATAATGCTGTTTGGGAAGCAAGACTATATGAAATTTAGTGGAAACGTGAAGCCTAATCATATTATCGTGGGAAAATTCAACTACCAGTTCTTCATTACCTTAAACGAAATAGGGTGAGCACTCTTCCTATTCAAGATGTTTACAGTTCCAGACGATCAAAGAAGGCCCCCCTCCAAACCGAGTCTGCCGAGCTGTTCCAATGCCAGCCACTCCCTTTTACGTGGACTGCCGCTGCTTTCCTGTAATCCGCTGACTGAACTGGATCTCAAAAGCGCCGATTTAGAATAAGGTGTGGTCTTTTAAGAGGTTTGGTCAACAAGACTACGGAACTTGGCCCGAAAAATTGAGAAGGGGTGACTCAGGGCAACAGCAATCAACGCTTAATGTCTCAAAGGTCGAGCAATCTTTGCGTTTAGGAAACCTATCAATTAAAACTGGTGTTTCGATGATGTGTGTTTGCATATTTTATATTTTCTAGGCTGTATTTCTCCCATTTTTTTTCAGCATCATATTTTACTGAAATAGTATTTCTATTATTGTTACTATTTTTAAGTTATATATCTTTATGTGGAGCATCAAGTTACCTAGAATTTGTGTTTAGAGTTAAAGCAAAAAATAAACAAAAACTTTCGTATAAATTGATCTATTTAGCTGTTGTGCCTTTAATTAAGGATTAAAATATATTTAGCCTCTTTTTGATAGTTATCAGCAGTAAAGTAAAGAGAAATAAGCCTCATAAGCGTTTTCCAGATATGGGACAGCGCGATAACACAAAGGACCAGTAACAATTGCTTTGCGAAATCTCGATAGAAAAAATGGATTAAATCTAGAATGGACCAAACTCTAATTGCTCATGTGAATTTGTTGATAAAGCCGCTTCTAAATAACATATTTAGGACGTGCAAGCGCATTAAATGTTATAATTATTCTATAGCCAATAATGAGAACGCGGTGGTCAGTTATCAACTAAAATGTAGGCTTTTCAAAGAGCCCCTCTTAATAGGCCCAGGCTTTATCAACTATTCCTTAAGTTTGGGAAGAGATTGTGAGAGCTAAAGGAGGCTGTCGGAACTCTGAAATGAAGGCATGACTTGAATTGTTGATGGCCCACGTAACTGTAGGCTTAACCAGTTGATAGAATTTGAGTCAATCGAATTCACCAACAGGCACTGAATTTCTAAACGACAAACTAGTTTATATGAAATGACACTATCCACAGTAACTGGTTGTTGATTCATCCGTAACCTTAGCTCCATTGCCTATTAATTTCCCCTTTTGGAATTTTTGGGATGCCTATAGGGCCACTTCCTCCAGCTAAACAAGCGGGTAACCTTTCTATCGACTTGTGCACATAATAATACATTATATTCTGACAACTTATAAAGTTTACTTTTATATGATAGGTCGAAAAAGCCAGAAAAATACAACGGATTTTCTTAGGTCTGACATAGTACGCTCCAAGCTGGGTCGTTTATTCTGATACCATTTTTCTCCCTTCCTATCTTTTTCATCGAGCTGACATTCAGCTTTAAGGAAAGCCCCAACTAAAGGGAAAAACCGACGAACGCTATACTAAGGACAGCATTAGGTTAGGAGTTCCAGTGCGATCAAATCCCAAAAAGAAATTAAGCCCAACATCTGCTCTTGCCTCTGTAATTAAGGAAGATTGCTGATTATGGAAGTATACACCCATTTTAGTACACCCTCGACCGGGTGAATGTGCAAAAGACATATGCCAGCAAAGGGAGGAAGGAGACAGGGGACAGGAGACAGAAAACAGAAGTGAAGGGGAAATAGGGAAGTATCAGACTCTCAAGCTGGTTACCAAGAGTGAATAGATATCTTTAAATGCCGACTGGTCACTTGCTAAAATAAAAGTGTAGTTGATGCATTTCTCCTATCTCTAACGAATGCAACCACATTAGGCTGGAGTCTTGAGAGGTCCAGGAATCACATATTAGCCGAGTTAATCCTACAAAGCAGATAGGAAAATACGTTTGCCTAAATAAGTTCGAAGTTTGCCTAAATAAGTTCGAAGTTTGCCAACACTGAAAGTAGGCAAAGGCATTGCTAGTGCTTGCTGAGAAACTAAGGCTAAAAATTAATCTTTTCGAATTAAGTATTATTTCTCGTGACTACCAGTAAATCAGTTATAAGATGTATTCACCCAATTTCGTTTAAAGTGATGAAGGACCGATAGAAGTAGAATTTTACCACAAC